AACTGAAAAATGTCATGCGTGCAAAGGTCATGATCGCCACGTTCAAACTTCGATCGCATAGCGAGGGGGGTTGATCTCCCTCTCCCTTTTTTTTTCAGATGTTCAATGGGAAAAACTCCAAACTGGGAAATGGAACGTGGGGAAAGGTCGTGATTGCCACGTTCGAACTGCGATGGCATAGGGGAGGGGGGTCGATCTCCCTCTCCCTTTTTTTTTCCATTAGTTTTCCATGAAAAAACTGGGAACTGAAAAATGGCATACGGGAACATATCATGATTGCGACGTTTGAACTGCGATCGCATAGGGGAGGGGTGTTGATCTCCCTCTCCCCCTTTTTTTCTCTGAGTTCTCCTCGCCATCCGTGACAGTGTCCGGGGTTCTGGATCCGGTAGACCCCCTAGCCAGCTGCAAGGGGATCCGGCGGATCCAGGACCGGACCCTCACCCAATTGGCGAGCGCGATCCGGCGGACCCCGCCCACCTCACCCTCTCCCGAGCGGGCAGGGGATCCGGCGTATCCAGAATGCCGGATCCCTTAACCACGTCGCTTGAGGGTCCAACGTTCTAGATCCGCCAGACCCTCTCGCGAATGGCAAGGGGGATCCGGCGGATCCGGAACGCCGGACCCTCTCGCGCATGAGCAGGGGATCCGCCATTCCACATCGGCGGGGGCATCTTCCCAGGGGCAAGGGGATCCGGCGGATCCAGGACGCCAGACCCTCACCCGTTTGGCGAGCGTGATCCGGCGAACCCCGCCCATCCCACCCTCTCGTGAGAGGGCAGGGGATCCGGCGTATCCAGAACGCCGGACCCCGTGGCCACATCGCCTGAGGATCTAGCGTTCTGGATCCGCCAGACCCTCTCGCGAATGGAAAGGGGGATTCGGCGGTACCGTACCGCAAATTTGGGCGAACCCCCCACGCGTGACCGGCGCTGCCCCTCGGCGCTTTGGGCGACACGGGAGTTTGTCGGGCCCCCTCCCTCTCCTGCACTGCCGAGGGGGTCCGGCGTTCTCAGAACGCCGGACCCCAGCGCCGGTCACGTGTGGGGGGTCCGGCGTTCTGGGAACACCGGACCCCCTCGGTGGTGCGGGAGACGTACGACATTGGACTGACACCCTCCCTCTCCCGCACCACCGAGGGGGTCCGGCGTTCCCAGAACGCCGGACCCCAGCGCCAGTCACGCGTGGGGGGTCCGGCGTTCCGGGAGCGCCGGACCCCCTCGGCGGTGCGGGACAGGGACGGGGCCCGACCATCCCCCGTGTCGCTCAAAGCGCCGAGGGTGTTCGGCGTTCCCAGGACGCCGGACCCCCTCGGCGGTGCGGGACACTGAGTGGTCCGACGAAACTCATGCCGTCCACAGCGCCGAGGGGTCCGGCGTTCCCTGAACGCCGGATCCCCGTGTTGGTGTTGGTGCCCCTTGTTCTGGTCTTTAGGCAACAAATGCTCCTTCATGTCACTCAATTCCTTTCTCTTGTTGTCTTTTCTTTTTTTCCCCCGTGGCTTCCTTCAGGTAAATCAGCTTCGGCCTCCGTCCCTGAGAAACGTGCATACGGCAGGTCTAAGCTTTACAACGATAAACCCTAGGCTCTTGACTGGGTTGGTGGTCTTCATACATCCGGTTGTGGAGCCGTCGTGTTCTTGAGCGATGACAACGGCGGGAGTTGGTACTGTTGCGGAGGTGTGGAGAAATCAGAAACGGGGAGGACTAACTACGATGGCAGGAAGCTTAGGACCTTCTTCCTTACGTCTGTCTATGACGGCGAGGGGAAGAACTGGGTCAAGGACGACAAGAAGGTGTCTCTTGACCTTCCGCTCTTCCAAGGTTACGTGGTCAAGGCTTTGTCGATGAAAGCGTTTGACGTGCGCGAGAACAGAACGGAGTTCCAAATGCTGGATCCAGAAAAGTTTCTCTCCAAAACCAATGGCTACCACGTCACTGGGTCCCTGCCCGTTCTCGACAACACTTTCTTGCTCAACAGACCTTTGGTCCAGTTCAACAGCCCGACGGACCAGCTGGCAACAGTAGTTATGCGATACAGGGAACAGTTCGCGAGGCTGCCTGCTGCCCAGCAAGTTGATTGTGTTTTCCTGCCCATTGATGCGGGGTCCAAATGTCGCCAAGATCTGCCGGCCAAAGCGGGTGCGAAGAGGAAACTATTGGCGATTGCCCCGCTTTCGTCCGATGCAGTCGCCCGGCCTCTTCCCGCTTCGATTTCGCCCTCCGATCGACAAGGTCGCGATGCGGCGGAGCAGTCCAGCGAGGCTACAGACTACGACGACGGAGCTTTGCGCCATCTGGCTAGTCCCCAACATCATTCCCGGGGAGGTACAGGTGCCTTTGACGAGGAGGAATGCGAGGGCCAAGAGGGGGAGGGCGGTGGTGAGGAGGGGGACGGCGGTAACGAAGGAGATGCCGAAGGTGAGGACAATGACATGGATGCGGAGAGAGATGTTGGTAAGTATGACGCCTGCGGAGTCGGTGACGCGGATGACGCGGATGGTGCTGGAATGTCACAGTGGTTTAACCAGGCGAAGGATGGGACAGGCAAACATGGCTCATGGGGAAAGAGAAAGAGGGGAGAAGCGTTGACCTCTATTGCGAGCCAAACGAAACAAGCGAGGACTAACGCCGTCAATGAGGCTCGCGGAGAGTTGACGTCATCCCAGGAAGCGCGGGCTCCTCGGAAAACTGGGGAGGGGGGGCGAAGTGGCAGTCGTGGCGGCGGCCATGGCGGTGGTAGGAAAGGCTCGCAGAGGGCCAGGACACAAGAGCTGCGGGACTCTGAGGATGAGGGCGAGGGGGTGGGGCCTCGCACGCCCGAGGATGTTGACGAGCTGGTTCAGCGCGCCGCGCCCCTTGACACAACACGATGTTTCTTTCTCGAATACGACGAGCAAGGCTTCGCCAGGCAAGACGTTCATGTTGTTAACGTCGACGTCACAAGAATCAAACACATTCCTCGTGGGAGGATTCTTTATAACCACCGCTCCTTGTCCGAGAACATTGTGAGAGGCATCGGGAATGTCATAGAAAGCTCTCTCACTGCCGACCCGGGGGCGTGGGATAGACCTGAGCTCGTTCTTGCACCTGTTGATCCGGACGACATCGTCGGCGGGCAGGGAAGGCGAATCACGCCGGACGAGTTCTTCAAAAGGGACTCTGCGGAATTCGACTGGTAGTACGCTGTCTGTGGTCAGCATACCGCCGAGGCCATGAAACAGTTGGTGGAAAAGTACTCCGCCGCGGTCAAAGTCGATGGCCTCCGCGCGTACTCTAAAGTGCGAGTCCTCTTTTTCAAAGATGACCAGACACGAGGGTACTTCAGTGTCTCCGCCTTCGACAACACACGTGAGAATCGCGCCATGATGTTGTCCTTCCAAGACGTTGTGCGTGATATGAGGCAATGGTGGATCGACAACAACAGAATCGAGACCCCCAAAGCTAAGGTCAGCGAGAAGGATGCCGTTGCCGTTGCGCACCAGAAAAAGTGGCAAAACTTCATGAGGGCCTGCATGGGGAAGGCGTGCGACAAGGCGTTTGTGAAACAGTCGCTCGACAATGAATACAGTAAGGATTGGAGTAATAAACTCCGGGGGTACATGAACCTCGCCACGTCCACCGCCGCAGTCTGGCCACTGGTGTAGAGGTTCTTCGCAATGTTCGAGGAAGGTCAGCTGCCAATCGGCGATAGCAAGATCCCGCTTGATATGTCGGGGAGGATGGAGGGGCGCCTGACGGATCCGTACAGCGATGAGATCAAGGGACAAAGATCGTTGTACCACTGCATATATGCGAGAGATGGTCCCAAAGGCTCCACCGTCTCCTGGAAGGATTTGTGTCCTTCGTACTTCAAAAACTTCGGGGACATGATATGCCACGAGAGAGAAGTCGCGCTACTCCTGCTCATGAAGGAGAAATTGATGGCAACAAATGTCAAAGTCACGCCTCTGAGGGTGAACACAGAGTGTCTCCTCGACATAATGCGCAAAGAGAGATACATGGTCCGCATGTTCAACTATGTCGTGTTCCGCACCGATGGAAGGGCAGATGACGAATGGAACGACAACTTCTTCATGTCATACAAGGACCAGGAAGAGAGGTATGCGCCGAACGGGCTACGCGCAGCTGAATGGGAGAAGGAACGGGAGAAGCTTCATAGCAACAAAGCGAAGACGGTCCCTCGTCGACTTGGAGGAGTGGAGGAGGCAAGGCAAGGTACGGGCTTGGGGCCTACTGAAGTAATGTACAAGGAGGCTCCGTTTCGCTTCAAGGTGTTCATATACACCGTCATCGATAAGCTCGATTTGCTTCGAGCGAATGTGAAACGGATCGCCTCCAGTACACGTCATCTTGTCTGGGACAAACTCGGCAGGCAGACCACATTGCTTCTTGTGTGCATGCGGTCAAAGGAGGTTATGGCAGCGCCCGACGACATCGTCGCCTCTGCGCAAAAAATGGCATGTAGGGCTGCCATCGTGGACATCTCGGCCGCAAATTTCAGCAGTGCATGAACCTCGCAGGACTTCGATGCACTGTACATAATGATGACGAAGTGTTGTGGTCCGAATTGGGTCCTCTTCTTCTTTGCATCGCAGAAGGTGCAAACCGATGTCTTGCGTCACTTGTTTCGTTGGGAGGACGTCGAACTCATCCCTGGGTCCTGGAAACGGGTGGACAGGCCATCAAGTGACGTCACAAGGTACGACAACATCGCTACGTCGAGCCGGGACTTGATGGCCATTGTAATGCACGCTAAGGGAGGGGATCTAAAAAAAGCTACGTTACCAGTCGTCCGATGGCCGGACGTCTCGGTCGGACGTCTCCCCCAACCGTCCGGTAGGAGGGTTGTCCGGGATCCCGGACAACTACTTTTTGGCATAAAAATAAAAAATAAAAAAAAATGATAGTGTTGCGCATGCCATAGAGACCCCCATAAAAAAATTCAGAATTTTCTGAACATTTGGTGATAGGGTGCTATTTGGGGTGGGAGGGGGGGTACGAGGGGTTTTGGTGGGGATAGAAGGGGTATAGGTGGGGATTAGAAACTTTGAAGATTTTTATCTTTTTTTCTACTGGCTCAAATGAGCCAAAATTTTGGTGGCATACACCTTACGCAAGGTAGAAGCCACTTGATGTTTTTCAATTTTTTTTTTTTTTTTTTTTTTTTTTTGCGCTAGGTCGGACAACCCCTGTCCAGTCCGACGACCGACCAGACGTCTAGTCGGACATCCCGGACGGTCGGGGGGTCCCGGTCGTCCGGTAAAACACCCTAGAAAAAAAGTAACTGTCGCACCCTGACTTAACAATGATCTCACAGAAGTGCATGTTGTGGAGGATAAGTTCGGGAAGTGTCAAGGAAAACACGGTGGCGTCGAAGGTGACGAAAGTGTTGCGTATTCGATTTAGGAGCGAGAACCCGGCAAGTTGCGGAAGTTGTGCAGTTCATTCGTCGAAGAAGCGGAAGGTGTCATTTTGTTGGGTAGGGCGCACGCGGGTCTTGTGTGGGATTTCATGCTTGCAGGTAATAATGTCATTGCCTGTGACGAGTCGGCCAAGGACATTTCATACTTGACAAAGTTCATCGACATACTTGTCAAGGATGACAGATTCAACTGCCGACTCGAGAAGCCGCGTTCCACACATCGCAACAACAGGGACATGTACCACAAGTTGGGACCGAAGAGACTGAAGGTGTGGGAATACCTGTTCCGCGATGCGCCAGAGGGACGTCTTGACGAGAGTTATATATATAAGAAAGCCAAGGTGACGGAGGCCCTCAAACATTATAACGGTGCTCTGACTGACGCCTTCGAGACATTCGTTGCTCGATGCGAGATATTGAAGTTTGATCTTCACAAAGATCAACTGACGTTCAAGGACTATGCAGACCTCGCCAAATCGGGTGAAGGGTTTAACCCCGTCGACAGCAAGGAAGACTCATCGGACTCCGAACTCAAGATTGAAAACGACACCAATGCAGCCGGGTGGCGTGGGCAGTCCGCTGCCATGGAGCGCGACGACAGGGAATATGGACCGGGTCGATCAGAGGGATGCTCGAACCCGCCACCCGCGAACAGTGTTGCCTCGATGGTGGACCGGGTTGCGTGTACGCCTATCGAAGATGGCGAAGATGATGAGATTGATATTCCTGATGAGGCAACGAAGTTGGCGCCAGGCGATCCGATTCCTCCCAACTTTTGTGCGGACCCAAACAATATGTGTTTCTTGGATGACAAATACGCCCGCACTAGTGAGGACAAGTGGGGCCATGATATCATTTGGCATGACGACATTTTTGAGCCATGCATCCAAGGCGGGGAGTGGAAGATGGCGGTGAAGTATGTGTCTGGTTGGAGACTGTTTGCCCGATTGGGAAAGGACAGCTGGCTGAAAACGACGGAGGCCGCAATTTATGCCGCGTGCGGAACGAGAACCCCGGGGAGATCGAAACCTCAATCAAAGCAAAGGCGAAAGAATTGTTCAATGCCTTGCGAGTCAGTCAGCAGTTGGAGTACACACACAAGTTTTACGCGCTGCAGACGAGCCCCTCGCGCGGATCAATTGACTGGAAGGTCAACCGCACCACCGATTTGAGGACGACCGAGAGCATGGAGGTGGACTCCCGAGAAGATGTTGCCCTTTTGTCCGAGGCGGCCACGGGAAACACAAAGGGTGAACAAAGGGAAGATGTCGGGACCACGTCTGGCATGAAGGCTCCATTGCCTGAGGTGGGGAACACGTCCACAGGCGAAAAGTCCATCATCACCATCTCAGTCACCACGGTGGATAGATCACAAGGTGGACATGTGTCACTCGACAAGCCGTCGGAAGCGGGCGCCACATACGGGAGTCTCCTCGCGACAGGTGCAGAGATGGAGTCGGAGGGAATGTCGTTGCATCCGCCCTCATGCACTAGCAAAGGTGATGCAGATCAGAGATGGAGTCGGAGTCCGCTGTTGGGATGGGCGTCACGGGAATGTCGTTGCATCCACCCTCATGCACTAGCAAAGGTGATGCACACTGTACAACAACACCACAGGGAGGGGCCACAGGGGATGACGGGAATGGGGGGATGCAGAGGGGTCTCAACGTTCTCGCAATCTTGAGGACATGACCACGGAGGACGAGGATGAGGCATAAGGCAAAAAGGGTGTGATCGATTCCACACGTGTGGAAAATGAGGGGTGAGACAGGGAATGAACTCGAGGGGAATCCTCTTCGCGGGAAATTAAGAGTTTTTAATTGTTTGCTCATTTGTTTTAAATCTAGGTTTGTGGGCGGAATTTATTCTGATATACAATTGGGTTGTTTACTCGTTTGTTTTAAATCTAAGTGATTGGTATTTGGCCGTTCCATTGTTTACAAGATAAATGTGCGGTGAACAGGAGTGTGTCGTAGATGCATGTGTGTCTCTCTAGATCCATTGATGTGTCGCGGTATGTGTATGCATGTATGCCTTTGGGGTACGGTGACGCAAGGGGGCAGCGGTCAGGATTGATTGATTGCATACATCAATGTCGTCCATGTAAGTGTAAGATTAGATAAACATATGATGACATATTTTGAATACATCATTTCCGTTGGTCATGTTATGGTAAGGCACTTGCCCATGTACAAGTATCTCACCCCCCTTACATCCCCGTCCCCCCCCCCCTCCCCCCGGCCACCATTTTTTACACGTCCGTCAATGTCGTGTTCGTCATGATTGTCGTGTGCAGTGCAAATTACAACAGACGATGGAAGAAAGTGCAAATGAGGGTGGACAATGCGGCTCGCTACGTCGTCTTCATCAGAGAAGGAAATGAAAACACTCTCGCATGTCATCCGGGAATATGGGAATAGGTTTCCAATAGCGAGCACACACAATCACGGGACGAACGAAGTATTGAAGCTAACTCGAGACGATTTTATTTTATTAGTCGGCGAAAGGAACTGGTTAAATGACAGCGTCGTCAACTTCTACCTGAACCTCATCGCACTAGACACCAGGTGTAGAATCATACACGTAGAATGCGACTCAGAGAACGAAACCGTGATTAGAACAGGAAAGGGTCGCATTCCAAGAATATCAGTGGTGAACTCAGTTCTCTTCGCCAAACTTTTTGACAGCGAAATGAGATATCGAGAGCGAGAGGTGTATCATTGGTCGAATGACGTCATAATAAGTGACATGGACTTGATAATTGCCCCTTTCCATATCGCACTTATGAACCACTGGACCCTCGTTGTGGCTGACTTCAAAAGGAGGAAATTCGAATTTTACGACTCCCTCAGCCCCGACATAGAACTGGCAAGAAAAGTGACCGGCGGATTTGCAAAGTTTCTGCTCGAAAGATCGACCGAGCAAGGCAAAGAGGTGGACACGAAACCGTTCAATCACATATGGAACGTAGAGGGCGTGCCGGAACAACGTGACACTAACTCATGTGGGGTCTTCATGCTCACATACGCATCTCTCTTGGCAAGGGGTCACCTTCCGCCTTTTTCTTTCACCGCTGATGCAATACGTCGTCGAATGGCTTTGGACACAGTGGGCCGTGAGTAGTATGTACTTGTTGTTGAATATTGTGATTATATGCGGACGGATGTGGGTAACATGAAATTGTTTGTAACTGAAACAGTGTATAGATGGTGACAAACATTGCTTGAGACCCTTTCCCCTTACCCCTTCCCATTATAGATGGTGACAAACATTGCTTGAGACCCCTAACCCTTACCCCTTCCCATTTACCCCTTGTCCCTTACCCCTAAACCACTTACCTCTTACCCCTTACCCCTTACCCCTTACCCCTTACCCCTCACGTGTATACCCGTACCCCAAACCGCGAATTTCAAATGTATTTTTGACCCAAAGTCAGCACGAATATGACAATTTCAATTTCGTTCAAAAAATATAAAATGTCCGTTTTGACGAAATCGCTGTTTCTTGTGGTTGGAATATGCCCACGATATTTCCTATTACTCCCCCCTGTTCCTTTATGCCCACCCAGTCTCCCTCTTCCAATGTCGGTCTTTTTTTCAGGATGCGAACCCAATCTAAGGGGACCACAAAGATAATTGTCTCTAAGGCCTCCCCTACCTTTTGACAGTATCTCAGTTTTTCTCTCAACTTAGGTTCAGCAATCCAATCTCCCTGCTCCTGATCCCAAATATCCCCCACTCTTAAGATACCATATTTGGTTCATCCTTTCTAGGGGGAGTATGTGCACCATAGCACCCTACTGTTAGAGTCTGTTATCCAC